CGCCTAGGGCACCAAAATGGCTAGAGCTACCACTGCAAAGAAATGTTCTCTGTGTCTGTTCTCCCTTCCCACAAAGTCCTCTCGATCAAGCTTACAGGCTCTTCTGTCCAAAAACAACACATTTTGTTTTTTTAATCATGTTTTGTGTAGCTTGTCACCTGCTGTTTAAAAAGCTTCCTGTTTCTGAGGCCTCCCTCCTGAGAAGCTCAGTTTGCTTGGATGAGTCATTTGATTGGCCAAGAATGGCAAAACACAGGACAGCTGCTCATTCTCTGCTTAATGCATGTCARACTAGTTCACTTTGGAAGTATTATGCAAATGTGGTGCGCGAAGAAATAAAAGAAGAAAACACAAGGAGTAGCAAAGACATTTAATGTGTCTTAGTCAGCTCCACAGATGTGTTTTTGTGGGACAAAAAAAACTGCCTTTGATCTGGTGATTCTGTTTTATTATGCAGAAATATTAAATGTGCAAAGCTGTGTACTGTAGCAGCAGTAAAAATCAATCAAGACAGTAGTTCCAAATAAAATTGCCCAAGAAGTCATTTAGTTGGTCCAAAGCAGCAGGGTATAGTGCACACAGTTTATGAGTCCCCTATGGCTGTAAAATGTTTAATACTGACCCCGGTAGTCCTCCAGCTTCCATCACATTGGCCAGCGTCACATCATTGGACCAAACATCATACTGCCACTTCCTGAGGCCTAGCACTCCACACAGAACCCGACCCGTGTGCAAACCCACACGCATGTTAAGGTTGACTTCTGTTGCCTCTGCCACTGACCTGCAGGAACCATTCAAAGGGGGATTTTGGGTTAAATTAAGAACAATATATACTCACTGACATCTTTATAAAATGTGTTTTTCAGGATTTGAATAAAATTAAGAAAAGCTCTCAGAATGCGACAAAACAACAACTATAAGACACATCCTTTGCTAAAACAAAATTAAGGGTTTAATCTTTTTATTAGGCTCTCAATATTTCTACCTGATGATTATTAAATTTAAATTTAAATTGTTAAATTTCTACCTCACTCTATTTCTACTTTATTTTATTTTGTTTTATTTTATTACTATATATTTTGTGTGTGCTTTTAATGCCTAAACGACTTTACTTTGTTTAATGTATGTTGAACTCTACATTGCTTTACAGGTTGTCAAGCTGTTTATGTCGTGCGATAATATGCATCGTAATTCTGTTCTACAGTGCATCTCTGATGTTATGTTGAATGACAATATAAGAATTTGAATCTGAATCTGAATCTGAATGAATACCTGTTTGGAGAACTCGACAATACCCGATTTAAAAAGTACTCACGTTATGGTGTCGATCATGTCTAGCCCCATTTCTACACAGCAGTGAGCATGGTCAGTCTTGGGTTGAGTCAGTCCTGAGACACAGTAATAACAATCCCCCAGAATCTTAATTCTGCGACAGTGGTTCTCCTGTTAATTAGAGGGAAAAGACAGAAAAGTAGAGTTGTAACCTCATTTTGAAAAGAATAAATCAGGGTATAACAAATGTTGGACAGTGGTAGATTTTTTCCCCTCTAAACTCTAATTTAAACTCTAACCTCTATTTAAGTTTTTGTGCTGAAGAAAACCAAGGTATTGATGGCTTAAATACATTTATAGAATAAATGTAACATAAATGCAACCAGTCACATCAAACTGAGGATTTAGTCAAACTTGGTCAAAATGACAAAGATACATTTTGAGACCTGGATCATCCTGATATCATGAGGGGTTCCAGGTACAGGTGCTGGTCATAAAATTAGAATATCATGAAAAAGTAGATTTATTTCAGTAATTCCATTTAAAAAGTGAAACTTGTATATTATATTCATACATTACATACAAACTCATATATTTCAAATGTTTATTT